AAAAAAAAAAAAAAAACTGCAAGGAAAAATCGTTTTAGAAATTATTAGCGCAAGAAAACTACAAAATATAAAATCAAAATCAAGTAATTTTTCAAAAAAAACTTTGTATTTGCACCTAAAATAAAGTTTTTTTCATTTTTTTTCTTCTGGTACAAAGACTGTCAAACATTTAAATGATTGTGATTATAGTGAGGGTATTGACAACAAATTTTCTGATTACGATAACGATGGTGACGCTGATGCCGATGCTGATGGTAATGACGATGATAACGGTATCTTTTTATCCATTTACTGCTGATGACGATTACTGATCATCATCATCATCATCATCATCATCATCATCATCAGCATCATCATCATCATCATCATCATCATCATCATCATCATCGTTACCATCTTCGTTGTTGCCGTCATCAAATTCATCGTCACCATCGTCATCATTGCCATTGGACCAATAATGTCAAAAAAATTGGCAAATAAAAACCAAACTTCGCCAAATTCTAACTGCTATATTTCTTTTTCCTTTTTTTTTTTTTTTTTTTTCCTTAGCAGTCGTTCTCAAATGACAGAAAAAAAAAAGCTTAGTAAAGAAATACAATAAAAGATGTGTTAAATTGCAGACTGAATACGCCTATTTATGATAACAAAATACGTTTTGTATGTATATCAGATACACATGAAAAACTTGAAGAGATTTTGCCGATGATTCCGGATGGTGATGTACTGATACATGCCGGCGATTTCACAAATTACGGTGATATTGGTGAAGTGATCAAATTTAATGCCGAAATTGGTGAGTATATAGCTGACGGATATATTACGAAGCATGATTTTTCCAAACTTTGACAGTTATGAATGTTAACCACTGGTATTCCGCTGCACTTATTGTTTCATTTCAGTAGCATTTATTGTTCTATCTAATTCAAACAACAAAGGGAATAATATTACCTAGCAAGCAGTAAAATATATTTACTAGCTAACATTTTATTTAGCTCATATTTTCCAACCTTGAGAAACTTTTTTTACTGTATTTATTATCGCTAGAATTATTTGCGGCAACAGGTAACTTTTGTTTCCTGTTACCAGACCAGAACGTTAAACGAAGACATAGACAGAGACTAAAGAAAATTAGGTAATGAACAAAAAAAATGCTTTACACAGTTTAGCACAACTTTAAGCAATGAACCAATTGAAGCACTCTTATAAAGTTAAAATAGAAAATTAAAACGACCAGAAGCTTTTTTCTTTTATGCTTTGTAAAGAAGTTAGAGGCGAAGGAGCGAGTAAAGCAAAATTTAGCGGTTGTCAATTTACAAATGCATTTTAAATTCAGCTCTTTAAGAAAATATTTTACAGGTAAATTACCACACAAATATAAGGTAGTAATTGCTGGAAATCATGAAATTGGTTTCGAAGATGGTGAAGAGATGAGCGAACGACAGTTAGCTGGTTTAAGTATGTTAGGTATTAACAAAGCCTACGAAATGCTTACCAATTGTATTTATTTGTGCGACAGATCAATTGAAGTAAGTGCCATTTTTCTGGTTCTTTTAAATGCAACTGTTCTTGCGCATTTGATCTTTTCTGTCTGTTTATGACTGCATTATGATAGTTTAACAAAAAAACAATAATTGTTAAGAATTATGAAAAATCAAATAAAATTTTCTTAAAGACATAATTAAATATAGCATTACATTTTTTATTTACAATATTTGTCAAGTGTAATCAATGAAAACTATTTAAATGACTATAATTTTCAGTTATTTGGCATCAAAATTTACGGCACACCGTGGCATACAATGCCCGGTTACTCCTTCTACAGATCTCGAGGACAAGCAATTATGAGCAAGTGGAATCTAATTCCGACAAAAACTGATGTTCTTATCACCCACAATCCTCCATTAGGTATGGCTAACAAAGTCTGTTTCTAAAGAGATAGGAATCTGAACAAGTGAAGCGGCAGTAAAGAAAAGAAGGATATAAGCAGAAATTTATTTATGAAATTTAAATTTATTTTTTCTTGGTTCTGACTGTCAGGTAACTGTAAAGGTGCTAAATATTACTTCTGCTCAATCACTAGTTTAACTACTATAGTTTTATACTATAAAAGAAATAACCGGTTAGACTTCTTTAATACTGGTATCGTACTATGCGATCAGTTTACAAAAATGGAAGGAGAAGGATGAAAAGTTTGAAATTTTCGCAGAATTAAATTGAATAAAATCAAGACCTTTTTTTTTTACGTAACTGGTAAACTTTCCTTGTTTTTGTTTAGATAATACAAATGAAAGTGTCTTCTACACTGTTTTCTAAATTTTCTTTTTTTATGAAGGCAAAGTTAAATTTGAAAGTGTAAGTTAGAAGCAGTCAACAGAAGGATCACTGGAGATAATAAATTTAAGCAATTCGGAGAATATCATTTAAAATGACGCTGAAAGTGTCGACAATCATAGTTCCAGGATCTATTTAATTGGTTTCTACTTCAATTTACTTTGTTAGCAGAAGAAACTTTTTACAAGAATTGATTTTTGTAAGTGCTAATTAAGGGAAAGAAAAAAGAAAAAAAAACAAAACATAGTTAGATCAGCAAAAACAGCTTTCTGAAATATGACAATGTAAAGTTTTGTGATAAAAATCCTTCCCTTCTTGGTTCTGGCTGTCAGGTAACTGTAAAGGTGCTGACGAAAGTACAGAACAGAATACAAATATGGTGTTGTTCACTTTTTCGTTGTTGTTACATCTCTGTTCGATGTAACAACAAAAGGCGAATTGCATAAAGTTTGAATCCAACTTCAGTTTTTTCTGATATTGTGAAAACTTTTTATTGTATCTTGTTAAGCATTCGAAATTCTGCTGTTCATAGGAGATTTTAATGATTTTAGTAAATTTTTATTAGGATTCAGTTGAAGAGAGAGTAGTGGGACTAGAAGAGAACGAGGTGAGAAAAATAAAGCGATTTAAAAAGCTGGGGTCAAAAAGTGGTAAAAAATCAAACGGTACAAAAGCTGGTTCTGAGACCGGCTAAAGTTGCAAGAAGCATGTGGATCTACTGGAAGTCAATTGTAGGTCACGGTGATTACAACAGTTGGCAAAAGTGTGACGGACTGTTGGCTGGATGTGCCGACCTATTGAACACGGTGGAGAAACGAGTGAAACCAAAATACCATATCTTTGGGCATATCCACCAGATGCATGGTGCGACCACCAACGGTGTTACAACCTTTTTGAACGCCTCAATATGTGACCATAAGTTGAGACCAGACTATGATCCAATAATATTTGATCTTCCAATTCCTCCAGGACACAGCAAAGACGAATGAATAGTCGTTGTTGCATTTATTGTTGACAAATTTCAGTTGTTTTTATTAAAAAAATTAATTCTTTTCTACCCATCACCTTTACTATTCCAGTCTTCAAACTCTTTTTTTTTTTTCTTCTGGTTACCGCCATTAATATCTGTAGTGTAATGTCTCTCTCTAAATATAAGAAAGAAAACTGAAGACGAAACTTGAAACGTTGACGGGCAACACCAACGACAACAACATACTCAGTCAGTTTCGTGTAACCAAACTTTACTGATCTTTTTTTCAGTTTTCTCTCATTTTTTTTTTAATGAATGTTAGACTTATTGGGGTAATTTACAGGTGTTATTTGCAGAATTAGAGTTGAAAATTGCAAGCCGAAATTTTTTTTTTTTTTT